GAGAGGACAAAACCTCCCAAACAAGATCATGTTGTGAGTGAATATGTTCAAAAAAACGGTGCTCCAGTGAACAGTTTATTCCTTTTACAACAAGAAACTGGACATTTTATAACGAGTTTTGTATATAAAACGATGCAGAATAACGAGATAAATTGAAAGAAAGTGACCAAACTGGAATAACAAGAACAGGCTTCTAATAAATGTGAAAAAACCTCATCAAAAGCACACGAGTCCTGGAGTTATGCCACATAGCTTTCCGTATATACTCCATATCTGGATCTCTGGTGCTAGTAGAAGAGCAGTGTGGTTTTCTCTTTCACATGATACCAAATTAATGTTGGTATTTAGCAGCAAAAGCAAGTTCTCGCCTGTTTCATCATCAGCAAAAGTCCTCCATTACTGTAGAGAGCGGTAACTCGGATTGTTTCACTCGTGTGATGTCACTCTTATGAATTAGGCCTTTCTACACTAGCACTTCTAAGGCCTAGTACACAATATCCTGTGTTGCGACAGGGAGAGCACCGGAAGTGCTGTACAAACGCTGCAAATTAACGCATGAGTTGACCAAAGTTCAACTCTTGCGTTATTGACACGCGTGCCATTGGTTTGTACAGCACTTCCGGTCGCAAGGCTAATATTGTGTACTAGGCTTAATGCGCATTGAACTGGTTTGGAACCGGTTCCAGTCATTCCACACCGGATGCGCATTGACTTCAATGAGCATCAAGCCATAGATTATATACCCTATAGCTTGAAATTTCCATGGGTCGATATTTTCGTAGTTTGCTCCTAGTGCATGGAGCAATTCGTGGTTTAATTGTCATGGTTGACAGTTTACATAGCCTGTAAGGGGATGGCACTTCAAGGATTTTGTGTGTTTAAATTTCGTGGGCTGCCCAGAACCATGAAATTTGTATTCCACGAAAATTTCAAGCTATAATATGGTATACGTACCGGGATAAGAAACATTCCAACACTCCCATATAATAAATGTGAGGGTGTTTGGGTGTGGCTGCAAACTGACAGTGCAGCGCAGCATGGCAGTTGTTACAGTACAGAATCTTGATTGCTAGAGTTATCACAGTCCAGTCAAAGCGTCAAATCTTGATTGCTAGAGTAAAATGGTGTCTCTTGAAGTAACTGCTGGAAGAAGCTTGAGTTTCTTGGACTTCTACTCAGTGCATACACGCATTTAGTACTATAGTAGGCCCTATTTGTTCCAAACAAACTCTTGTCAAGCGTCTGAAGTTTATAGACCTTAGCTACTCTTCCTAAGGACAAGCGCCTCGTGTAAAGTCAAGAGGTAAGTAATTTTTAGGCATTCCTTTCTTCAAGACAAAGAAAGTTAGAGAAAAACGCTACATATTTTTTAAAGAAAAGGTTTTTGTGTCTCTCTAGAGATACTATAACTGGAAGCATGACAAAATGATAGGGGAACCTACCTACATTTGACAAGATTGTTACCTTTTGGTGCCTTGCAGTGCCATCTATACTTGATAAAGCTAAAGAAAGTAACTTTTTCTAGCGCGTGGAGAAGTTATCTGAGTGTAGGGGACCCCCTTCTAAAACAACAAGATCTCAAAGTGAGAGATTGCTTAGTTTGCTTCTGTCTCACACTTAACTACATACTGTATAGCGAAAAATTTTCATCAATTTCGTATTTTTTTTCAAAATCCATGAATATAAAATCCACAAAAATTAATTTAATATGGTTCAAGATGGCAAAAAGTACAAAACCACGAAAATTAAAGCCACGAAATTGATTTTTGAACGGATCTGCAAAATTTTTGGGCCACGAAAATTTTCCGTAATACGGTAGTCCTTGCCCATGCTAATTGCTGGCAAGGTCAATGACACATGGCTGTAAAGTATAATGCAAATTTTGACAAAAATTACAAAAAATCCTCATCAATATTTTGATTACAGACCATACATATGTACGCATGTATAATTATAGCCAGAAACTGCCATAGATTTAGCAATTTTGTTGACATTCACAAAACTAAAATCCTCTATGCTTGAAAATGAAATTAAACTTTAGATAGATAGGCGAAAGTTTAATCCCTCAAAAGTTTCCAGCTATAATATAAATAATTTATGAACTAACAGTGTTGTGTCTTCTCATCTTGAATGCCTTCTTTAGAGTACCTCCTACACCACTAATATCACTGACTGAAATATCACTCCAGTAATCCTTCTCCCTCATTACTAGTCTCATACATGATGAATTGAGATTATATGCCTAGAGAAAATGGACCAAATCAATGGAGGAAGGGAAGGAGAAAAATATCAGCTTCCTCTTACTTCTCCTATATGTTGCTTTAATTTTTCAACAGTCCAACCTAGCCATGCTCTCATTTCTTGAGGTGGTCCTACTACATTACTTGAAAAATCAACCACTGATACTCTTAGATTAATAGCTAGACAGTCAAATACATGTATATGTAATTATAGATAATATTAGAGTAAATAAAAGGGATTGACAACTTGTTTGCAGCAGGAAATGCTAGACTTAATTTGCTAGTTATGTATACGTACCATAATAATTTTTCTATTTACAGTAATTTTTTTAATTTTACAATAAGGATTTATAAAGAATAATTATAACAGTCTAATAGATTATAAATCAATAATGGCTTTTCTCAAATTGTGTTAATATTACATACATCAAGCTTTGTTTTCATATCACATTCAAATGTGTCAATCATTGAACAAAATCAGTCACCAAATCTGTCATCGGAGTAATTTTTGTTGCATGTTTTCCAATTATGTACAATAGTTGGTAATAGTTAAATCTGGTATTAATTCTATTATGCTCTCAAAAAGGTACAACACCCCAATAATAGGTCAATAAATCAAATTTTACTGACAGTTATTAATATTATTTTGTTTTGAAAATTAGAGAGACTGTAATCTGTAATGCCTCTTTATCATTGCAGAGGATGAACACAAGCCACATTAGAGCTATGAGATGAAGTAGGATGTTAAACAAGGAAAGAGAAAGTCCACAAAGGGAAAACACCTATGCAAGGCTACATTGCTATAGGCAACCTATTGATCTCAATTAGATAATCCACCCACACAACAGAAGTTTCCTATCCCTTTAATTTACTCTAATATCTACGATGTAATTATAGGTATTAGAGTAAATAAAAGGGATAGGAAACTCCTGTTCCCAGAAAATCAAACTACTTATCCTAGCTACATCATAAAACTGGAGAAATCCTGATACTAGTATACTCTAACTGTTATTATCCATAGCCACTATGGGTCAAATAGCCCGACTAGGCCTTAATTCATCCCTTGTACTAGCAAAGTATATGCTTTGCAAAGACAAGATAATGGATGGAAGACCCAGACTAACTCATCTAAATTCTATATCTGAAGTCATTACTTGTTTGAGAAGTGAGATAACGGTGACAAACTAAACACAGCAAATTTACCTGTTTTTGATAATAAAATACCAAGAACACAAGCTTTAGGAGTGATTAAAGCCGCAAAATCTGAAGAACTGAATTCTTCTACAGGTGCTTGCTTTAAATCTTTCACTTATAATTGGCCTTGCCAGATATTAGCATGGGCAAGGACTATGTAGTTAAGTGTGTTGTCTGTCATTCATTCGTTCTGTCCACCGCAACTCTCTCTTTGAGGCTCTGCAGTTTTAAAAGGGGGCTCTCCTACACACAGTCACCAAAACTTCTCCATAGGCTAGAAAAAGTTACTTTCTACTACTTTCTCAAGCATAACCAGCAGTGGAAGGCACCAAAAGCCTTCAATCTTGCCAAATGTAGCAGGCTCTTGATGGATTTTTTTCTGCACTATCAATTTGCAGCCACACCAAAACACCCTCACATCTTAATTAGACTATGAAGAATGCAATTGAAATTATAGTAATTAAGCAATTTTTTAATACCTACATGCAGGAAAAATAGTTTTGAAATCATACATATACAACAATAATGTTTTTCTTTGTTTTGGCAAGGTCAATGCACTAACGATGTCTTGTTTTTTTGAAATAATGGGGACCAAAGAGGAAACCAGTACTTTTATATAAAAGTTGTAGTAGAAGAGCTTATTTTTTACTACAGTACAATAGTATAGTTGCATAGCATTTGTTTAACTCTTGTACTTGGACCCATGTACTGTTATTGAGAACTGTAAACTAAAAGTAAAGGAAAGTTGCTGTCTTGCTGTGTAACTAGGGAAAGCAGTATCCGTTGCTATGGCACAATACAAAGGAATGCAATTATTATCCAGCCCTTTTCTAGTTACCTATCCCTTTCATTTACTCAAATATCTATGATGTAATTATAGGCAACAAACCACACCTACTTTCAGTATTGTATTTCTTAAAGGTTTCATTTTCTGTACGAGTTTCTAAGAATAAACTATAACATCTAACTACATCCATAATCTGTCCAATAGTTAGATGTTGAAACTACATTAATAAAGATAATTGTAACAACAGAGTAGATAAAATTTAAACTGTGTACCTCATCAAGATCTTCCATTTCTTGACGCTCATAATCATATTTAACTAAACGGCATCTCTCAATAGGAATATGAGGAGCTAATTCCATTGTCTGATTAAGAAATAAAATAATACATTGCAGTAGATCAACTTAAAATAAACCTCATAAGCTATATCCAATACAATGGGTAGTAATTCATCTTTGTGTACTTCAAGGAATGAACTGTTTAATTCCCCAGTAACAGGATGATTACAATATAATATGATCTATACAATAAAAGTAAGTAAATAGTATATACTTAGTCTGTCTCACTCTTACTAAACACATTTCTTCTTCAATTTGTTTTCCCTTTTTTCTCTGTCTCTTAGTCTTCTCCTCAGTTTTTTTCAAAACTATTCATCAACAATCAAATGATGACACACATCATCAATAAAACCTTTAATATCTTTTATAATCTTCTCATTGTGCTCTCTTTCAGTCATCAGTTCCATTATCATTAATGTTATCCTTTCTTGTAATTTCTCTATCATTCTTTTATTATCTACCCATGGCTGATAGTCTGGTCTTGTCATTGCTTCAAGCTGAAATTTGCAGTCATCAATTTCAAAAGACATTCCTCTTCTCACTTTGCTAACAGCTTTAATTAATTACAATTATTAGTATTAGTGTAATTAATAAAACTACTCTAACCTGAATCACTTTTACTAGAAAGTGATCTCAAAAACTCAATCTTCATTTTTGATAATTTGTCAGTCAATTCTTTGTTTTTTTCTTTTATCTCATTAAACTGAGAGCTCAATACAGTCAACTCTTCATAAAGTGGTTCTTCCTATTAATAATTATTATAATTAATACAAACTAGTGAGATATACCTCAACTTCTTTAACTGATTCAGTATCACTTTGAACAGACAATAATTCTTCCTAATAATCAAAACATTACATTTATGTATACTATGTGATCAAGAGCAGGTAATTTTGGAGGGGGAATTTTGGCATTTTTACAAAATTGAAGCCAATATTTTGAACTATTATGTACATGCTCGATGACACACAGCCACAGAATAAACATAGCCACAAATTAAAACCTTCCAATCACCAAAAACTTTAACACTGCCAAAAATTTAACCCCTCAAAATTATCAGCTATATGGTACATCAATCAACATATATCCATGTAAAAACTGCAAGATTAAACTTCTAACCTCAGTTACTTGAGCCATTGATATTTCTTGTTTCAATTCAATTCTTTCCTATACATACAAAATTGCATTGCACAGTTTGGTAGCATGATATACCTTCTCTTTGCTACTGATAGCATCTCTTAGTTTATATTCAGTTTCTTTAAGTATAATATAAGAAATAACCTGTACACAATAGTACTTAAAATTGCACTTTTATACGAGGCAAATTTAAACTGACTTCTGTATGTACTAAGTCTTTATCCTTTTCTTTTAGTTCCTACATGTATAC